TCACTGCACGCACATACAAAAAAAACAAAATGCATATACACATATATGTAGTATTACTGCAATGAAGGCTCATTGTAGGATTCAAGAGTCAGCTGTGGTAGGTACAACAGCTGTAAAGCTACCTTCCCATATTAATCTGCCTGTATGCCCAATGGTCCTTTTAACAAGGCCAACGCAGCCTTAAAGCAAAAGGGGAAATAATCTAGGTTCTGAATCAGGACCCTGAAAATTGTATTCTGTTCCTGGATCTTCCTTTTACCCCATCTTAAGCAAAACATTGAGCCTTTGTGTGCCTGTACATGGCATACCTGCTGAGCTATCACATTTGGTCCATGTGTGGTTGGTTATGGGTTTCTGTCCTAGACTGGCTTTGCACTTTAGACCCTTGTAACATGGTTTTGTTAATATATACATATCACTGTTCTTTCTTACTCATGCTTTATCTCCTCCCCAGCCTTAAGTTACTTAAAAAACAAACAAACAAACAAACTTTTCTGTCTCCAAGCATGGGCTTCAGACACTGCAATGCTAGAGATTTTTGAAATCCAAATACAGATTCTCATTTTAAATTTCTCTGCAGCTCCAAGTACTGCTGACACACAGATACATCCAGCTTTATAAATACGTAGTTTGTTGTTAGAACTATTACCTTGTGATAGGACACGTCTGTGAAATGAGGTAAGTTATGTCTGTGTTAGCAGAACAATTCTGCCATAACCGCAGGCTTTGATCTCCAGTGGATGTTCCTCACATATTTGGGGGGATTGACTGCTCTCTCTAGCCTGTTGACGTACCTGACATGTCTTTGAGGAACCTGTCCTCAAGGATACCTGGAGTCTTTCCTTATCCTTTTTGATTTATGTCTTCTACCTAGTTTTTGTTTCACAGTCAATTCTCTCTCACTCCACAGTTACAAACTAACAGAACTGCTTTTTCTTATTAATCCTCAATCTATTTTCTGTGAAATCACAGATACACTGAGACCTGTGGAAAAACAGACACTTAAGGCTGATAACTCAGCTTTATGTTGTCAAAGCTTAGCAGGCACACTGAGTTTCACTTACATTTATGTAAACAACAAAGATAGAAACTTGTTTTATAGACAGGAAAAGGATCTACATGTATAAGGCCTTAGGTCAAATATTATATAGAATTTAAGTTGATAGTGACTTAAGTGGGTCTCACTTAAATGAGAGAAAATGCTGGTAATGCTGAGGACTTCAGTCTTTCTAGACACCTGAGTTCCTGAGTTTTGGAAGATCGTACAAGTATAAAGCGTTTCTGGGTTTCTGTTCATTCATGTAGGAGAGACTTATGAATTGTCTGATCTCTTAGATTGCATGCTACAGAGTATCCTTCCATGCAGAGGAAATACCACGTAATAATGCTGTCTAGTTTTAAATATTATGAAATATAATCTGACAGATTCCCAAAAACAAAAACAGTTGCTATAATGTGAGTGAGAACACGCTACTCCAATCAAAAACCAACCAAACAAATCAATAATCCACTTTCAAAAGAAGTAATTCAAAGCATTTGAAACTACTTTAAATGACGCAGAAAATAGAAAAGAAGTGAGAATTCTTTTTAAAATGACCACCACTTACCTTCTTCAACCAGAGGTAACCCTTTAGCAAAATTGGAAGAGAAGATGATATCTCTTTGTCAAAAGCCCTCTCCATAGTTTTATGAACAAGGTGGAAAGTCAGCCTATGCCTCTTCAAGTTTCCTTCCCCAGCCTTAGCTGCAGTCATGTCTTACTGAGGTTACAGCAAGGAAATCCAATCCTCTCTGTTTTAAGACCGTGGAACTTTTGTCCCTACACCTGTTGGTCATTTGACAGTGCTTGAGCTCTGAAAAGCAATTCTGGGGTTTGACTGCAGATGTCTGAGTGATTCTAAGCATTTCCAGTGAACACTATTTCTCACAATGCCCATGTCACGACAGTGGGCTCCCAAGAGCACATATTACTTACTTAATCTTTTCAACCCAACACCAAATCCTGAGTCTCTAGGTTTGATCCTCTAAATGTATTAGCAAGGAGAAGTGGGCTTCTGTTCAGTTTGGCTTTCATTTTAACTGCACCTGCCTGACAAAAATACGTTAAAAAAAAAGAAAAAAAAATACAGATCTCATCCAGTCTAGCAAAACCACAGAGGTTAACGCTATGAAGCGCGACTTTTTTTTACAAGGTAACGATGCTGACAATGTTGTGGTAGACTCTATAGTGTAGTAACAATTGTAATCTTGAAGACAATCAATTTTCCAATCAACCTCTTCACCTCCTTTCTCCACATATTTTAAAATAAAAACAAGCAGAGAGCAACGCTATCCTTACCAAACAGTACCTAAAACAATTGTGACACTGGTTAGTTATCTCTACTGTAGATGATGAAACATCATTGTTCATAAAAAGGGCTGCTAATTGAATTTTTTTTAAAGTATTTATTATAAAACAAAATCCACAAAATCTATAATACAAATGCAGAATCTGTTATCCTTACATATTTATACAAAATATCAGTTAATTTTAACAAGACTTCAGTTTTGTTAACATAAAGAAACATGGAAGTTTCATGACTGGAGAATTGTTTATGTGTAATTGTCTTAAGTGAGGAAAGCCTCAAAAGAAGTTTTTCTTAAGACTTTACCACTAGGTTCATTTGTATGCTGGAAGGCCATATTTGGAAGAACAATTGGTAAAGACTTTCTGTAACACAGTAAATGGCTTTAATGAACAATACTGCAGTGACAATCTGAAAATAACGTCAATTTAATCCCCAAATACATAAGTATCACTTGTTGGCGTTTCTTTTTAATGTTATGCATTTAACAGGTGTCAAGATTGTTGTTGAAACAGATATGAATATATAAAAGTCCACTTGAAATAATGCATTTGAGACAAATTCCAAAATATTACAAACTTAAGATAAGTACGCTCAAAAAAAATCAAAACTTGTCAGCTTTCACATCCACTTGAGGCTGTACATATTTTAACTGAGGAGAACCCTAGCAGTAACAAGATGCTGTGTTAGAACCAGTGGAGTACAATAAACGTATGATTCTAGGGACATTTGTGATTTAAGGCTTTACTTCTTTCCCCAGTTAATGTTTGAGCTGTTTAAAACACACAAGGCACTTAAGTATTGGGTTTGGTTGTCCTTTGTAGTAACAAATTCTATAAAATGATACACGTATAAAGCTGTAATTATTAGGCTTTTTGTAGAATACACATTTTAATATAAATATAAAAAAGATTGTGTGGGTTTATCATAAAAATTCTTGGTAGTCTTTGTATATTCATGTACATTTACAATAGCAGCAATTACAATACAATTAGATAAGTATGAAAGCAGTCTGGGTTAGAGTTTTTCTTTACGATGCCCTCCAAATTTCACATCCAACAGCAAAGCAGTCCTCCTGTTTTCAACAGCTTTTGTTTTTATCTCTTTAGGCTGATTAATTCCATTTACAACTATTGCAGCTGTACTTGCAACTAAAACACTTCCATACTTATTTACACGCTGCAGGATCTCTGTACAATCCAAACTGGAACATCACTCCCTTTGTCAAACGGAGTTACCTTGGGAATGCTGTCACAAGAGCAGCATTACTCTTTTCTTAGAGAAATGGGCATCAGTGGGAGTACTCGCTTTTCAAAGACATGAACGCTGGTGAATTGGGCTGTCACTTACTGTAGCTGTCAATGTCGCTTTTCTCCTCTGATAACTCCTTCAAGGCATGTTCTCTGCATGCATTTCGTGAATATGAAACGCCCCATTTAGGAATGGGGATTGTGGTCTTTTAGCCACCAGGATTCTGGAGAGAACCAAGCCCCCAACTCCTGAGGTGGGCTGCAATGAGGGCTGTGGGTTGTGCTGGGAACAGCCAAGGTAGGGTGACTTGCTGCCTCGGGCAGCTGAGAGCATGGTCAGCATGCGGCACACAAGGGATTTTGCTGTGGAATGCAGAAGCCGCTTGTATCAGACTGGTTTCCATCATTCCTATCAGTAGGCTCATTTAAAATCAATTTATCCTTTCCCCCACTCCCAACCACCCCTTGCCCAGGGGATATGATTTTATGTGAAGAGACCCACAGCATAGTTGGCCAACTGCAAAATAAACGTAGTAAAGAAAAGATCTCCTTTACATAAAAAAAAACTTTTGTAAATTGTTCTCCGGAGGGAAAGCTAGCAGACATGACAGAACTGAAAACACCTATGTATATGACTATTTCTTTTTAACATTTGACAAATACCTTGAGCTGTTTAGCTAAACTCCTAATAAATGAAGAAAGGGCTCTTTATGTTTAATGATGAACAGAAAGCATTGCAATGCATAATGGAAGAGTAACAGAACCAGCAGGCACTTTCAGCATTTAGGACACAGCCTTCCCTGAGCCTTTTACAGAGAAGTCAAACTTCTGGTGAGGACTGCACTCAACATTTATAATGCACTCATAATTAGTAATGGAAACAACTGAATATGTGATCTGTAAACGACTGTCATCTTTGACTGTGGCTTGTCTAAGGCTCAGTCCAAACATCGAAGTTTATAAAATGTCCCTCAGCACTGTAGCAGCAAACATTCAGGGCTCCATGCCAGGCACTCTTGTGTGTTATTAATTATTGGGAACATGCCTGCCTTCTGTTTTCATTTCCTGACATTAATGGATATCACTTGTAGTACAATTATAAGCACAGCTACTCATTTGGAGTGACTCAACACATACCCCCAACAAAATGACTGACATCAGAAAAGGTCTGCTTCTGATAATGCTTGAAGCAAACAAGATACACACAACTTTTGTGAAGTCTGACTGACCACACTCATAAAGTACTACAACATGCTCCACAGGCTCTGATGAAGGGCATCACTGGAGTTCTCTCTAGTAAAGGGATCTACCCTGCAGGCAACGGAGAAACGTTCGTGTGACTGACATCAGCCCAGCACAACCAGCTTTGAGAAGAATCAGAACTTTTAGGGAAGTGCTTGCACTCTTTGCAAACCAGAGTGATCAAACTTTATTACCAAAAAGTCAAACCCATTATTGAAAGAGAAGAAAATTTTCAATTATTTCACTTTTCCTCTTTAGATCATGATGATAATGGCACAAGTTCGTTTTTGGGACATTTTGTACTCTGACGTTATTCTAAAGAAAACACAGTTTGTTGTACATACAGACTTAATCTTAGCTTGAGTGCTCTTTAGCAATCTGTCCAAGCAGGCAAATTGAAACACTAAAACAACTAGGCAGTGCAAACAAAGTTTCCTCAAGATCATCCAGCAGTCGTGAACAAATCAATGACACCCATTGTAAATTTCAGGGTGCAGTGTCTGTTGATCAGTCCAGTTGAAGTCCATGCATAACTTACACAAACCCTTTACTTGAAATTAAAGGATACTTCAGTTCTGAAGACCATGATTTAATTTTAAGTCTGCCTATTTATCTTACAGTTTCACACTGCTGCTACATCTGTTCTGCGAACAGGACAAAAAGAGAAGATGTCCCCAGTAGCAGCTTTTATGACTGCACTGGAAGGCAAATCAGCTGCTAGGACATCTGTCCTTTCAACGTGACACTGAACCAACCAGATCATTTGCCTATCACTAGCTGCCATCCAGACACTGTTCTATATTACATCCTGAGCTGCTTTAAGTGGTGATATGTAGTCATAATGGGCTTGGAAAACATTTGAATAAACTGATACAAGTACTCACAAGTTCACACAGATAGTCTAGTTGCATGCATTCCCCTGCAGGTTCTCAGGGCAGAACTCCTGGGATATTTCAGCCTGCTTTCTCAGACTACATTTTTGCAGTAGTGGAATTATGCTTAAACCTCAATTAGACAGCTCTTCCCCACTTATTTCCTGTTTAGCCCTGAAATGCTACAATTCATCATATGCATTCAATAATTCCATACAACTCTTTCCCTCGTCCTGATCTAGAAGAAACTAGCATCTGTTTTTGAAGTTTTAGCCTGAAAGTTCACAGGATAGAAACCACACTTTACTAAAAATTTGCTGAGAGATACTTCTGGGGAGAAGTAGCTCCTCTTATTCAAATATATTTTCTGACACCAGGACTGCATTAATCCATTATATGGTAGTAGGCCTACAGCAATCAAAAGTAATATTTTAGTATTTAAATGTTTTGATGCTAAATTTGCATACAAGTTCTTTTTAGAAAGGCTTTTAAGCAATAGTATGGAACAGAGAGGGACTTGGACTCTGATCACAAAACCTCAAGTCCCTCAGATGAAGTGATTTCTCATCAAATATCAGCAGCAAGAGGATCTAAATGTCCAACTGAAATAAAAGAATTCATTCATTCATGCTTAATTCATTCCATTCAGAAAGTGATTGCTTCCTACTGAATACCTAAGGCCCAAAAGAATTTGACCCTTAAGACAGTTTAATTCTTAGTAAGACCGATAATTTTCTTGGACTCAACTCCAAACTTTGTACTAGGATACAAGATGAAGTGGTTAGGACTGCTACAGTTGTGGCTCTTTAAAATGACCAGTGGTTTAATTAAAAAAACAAAGTAATTTTTCATCCAGTGTCATCACAGGAACACAGGAAAATTAGTGATGTGGTCCTAAGCTAGAACTCTAACATGAAACAATTAATGCATTCATTGTAAGTGGCAAATGGTTACACACAGAACTACAGATGATGTGAAATTAGACCAACTGCTGTAACGCAGAACAAGTATTCCTTCATATGACTGATGTGATACATAAAATATCTGTGGATCTAAAGTCATGATTTAGTTCACTGAAACATGATCACATGAAAGTGTTCTTTTTTTTAAAAAAAAATAAAAAAATAAAAAAAAATCATTGACACTTTTTCAGAGGTCTGCCAAGTCATCCTTAGAGTTACAAGCTATGGCCTTGTCTCTCCTGGCACGCTATAGTTACTAATGTTGAAAGGGGATGGGAGAAGATAACCTGTTCTTAAACTCCTATCTCCAATACTGTATTCTCCAATTCTGTATTTTTCTCCACAAAGAAAATGGTGGGCATTATCTTTTTGCCAAACGTGAATCTCAGCCATGAAGTTAATAAAGGCTACTTAAAAAGTTTCAGTAATACACCAGTGCCAGTACAAATATTATCCTTGAGCAACGTAGGTCGGGAGACAGATCTGGACTAACAAATCTGTAAACACAAACTGGATCAGAACACTGTAGTCCCAGCCCCTAAGACCCCAACTCAATTTTGAATTAAATTCAAAAAAGAAAAATTTTTCATCATTGCCACCAATATTAAAGCTGTCAAAGACCCAACACGTCTGTTACTCAGCAGCTGCAGAAACAGGTGCAGGTCTGCATATTCAGATCTTCCCTCAGATGTCCAGGTAGGCACTCACATTATCATCATCAGAGCTGGATTTGTGAGTGACACGCAATACCCAATCCTTGTTGTTACAGCAAGAGAAGAATCAAAGCAACAAAAAAAAAAAAAAATGTTGTTAAAGGCACAGATTCTAGCCCCGCATTCACAAAGGGTTTTTTTGGTAGGAGCTGGAAGCATGAGCACTTCACTGATCATGGTGTCCTGAGGATACAGCAGTTTGTTGGAGAGTTTTGTTGTTTTATTGTTATTAAGAGAATTAGAAATATGTCTTCTCTAATTCCTGTGCTTTTTATGTTTCTAAACCTGAACAAATTTGGTGGAAAATTTTGATGACATGACTAAATTGTTCAAATGGCAGGCGTTTTGTTTTTGAGCTAGGCAGGTAATGTTTTCTACAAACACAGATTAATAAGCAACAGCTTTCTCATTTAAATGAACACAGGTCACTGTATCATCCCACTTTGTGAAATGAACATCAAAGACGAAGCAATTCTCTGATCAGTTCAACACACGTAAACACCTCAGAGACACAGCACAGTGAATTACTGGACTTCTGGGTAAAAACTGAAGTACCACTGGTTTTTGAGAAGCAGTTGACTATCACAGCTCCTTCTCAGACAAGTCACCAAAGCCTCACAGGGAAGTGGCCGCTAGAAAAGGATGAAGGAGCCTGGTTTCATCACCATTAAAACTGGTGAGTCTGAGCAAAGCTGTAGCTCATCAGGCATTTCTCTCTGCTTAAAAACTACATTAAGAGCCCCTTGATCTCTATGACAGGTCAGTGTAACTGCTTTTACTACCACACATTCAAAGTGGGGAACTGACTGGAGCTAAAATAAGCTTTTGGGGGCTGGATATCTTTTTAGCTAGACTCAGTTCCAGAACTGATAACAGGCACTGTTGGCATCAGTTAGGACACAACTGTGGGCATAATTAAGCTGGAAGGTTTGGCTAAATTGAGGACTCTTTCAGTTCAGTGCTGAGCAAATGGAGAGTGAGGTTCAAAATCCAAGTCTCTGTATACACATTCTGCTGGGAAGCATTCAGCTCACTTGAAATAGGAGCATATGACGGTGGTACTCTTTGCATGTTTTGACCCAGTGGTGGAGAAAGGATGAGATACTGACAAACAAGACATTTAAGCATGTCTTTTCCATGAATATTAGTCTTTCTTTAGTGTCCTCCTCCCACAAGCCACTTAACTTTGTTTTCTCACATTAGCAAAAATAATTACACACATTTTGCATATAAAAAGGTGACACAATTCAAAAAAGCTCAACATCCTCCCCCCACCCTCCAGTCCTTTGGAGATTAACTCAGTTCCAAGATTTCAAAAGGCAAATATGGCACAAAAGAATGGAAATTAAGTTAAAAAAATCAATTTTATAAATATTCTTCCTCTGTACAATTTTCACAGCCCCATCCCTCCCACCCATTTTTATTCACATTTTTTTTTAAAAAAATCCCACCCCTATTTAACTTTAAATCATAAAATATATATTTTAAATCTGTTCATATTTAAAAATATTTACAGGAAAAGTTCCTTCTGTTGAGGTCATGAGGAGTCTGTACAAGGAGAGGGTGGAGGGGGGTAGAGGTGAAAATAGCTTCGTTCTGTGGCAGGAGATGGAGGGCAACTTTCTTCTGCCGACATATACTGGCTGCGAGGTGTGGGTGGAGGGGGATAAGGGTCTGAGTCTGAATTTAAATCTATATAGTATTTGTTGGCCTTCCATCGGCTGGTAGTATAGTCACTGTCACACACATCTGTGCTGCATGGGGTTGTGGGTGGAGCTATCCCTCGTATAAGGTAAGGCCTGCAAAGAAAATGAAAAAGAAAATGCACGGGCATTAGTTGTAATTTGGGGAAAAGGGAAACAAAGAGATTGAAAATGAATGCCTTTGTGTTCCCAGTCAAGAGAGCTGTTTATTCATTCTATATGAGCCGTAACTATGGCTTTCATAGAAACCAAACAAGAAGTACTTCCACTGTGCTAAATTTGAATGGCACAGTCACCCACAGCCAGCAGAGCATTATGATAGCCCCTAACCAGATGGATCTATAGATCTGGACAGCCAGAAAAGACCACCATGACCATTTAGTCCAGTCACTAACAAATAGGTCAATCCACCAAAGTTTTAACAGAAAACACAGAAATTCTCTACACAGGATGCTAAGGCACCATAACAAAGCAATATATATATTGCACATGTTTTATTCTTAATCAGCAACACTGTGTTGAAAGGTGTTAAACCCTGTTATATCAAAATAGGATGCAAATCTATTGTTTAAGGTCACAGCTGGCATAATCTAAATTTGAATGGTCATTTATGAATGGAGGGAAAGATGGCATTTTTACCTTGTTCAAAACAAACAAACAAACAAAGTCCAAACAAGAACATTTTGCTTAAGATCCAAAACTAAAGGACAGGTCAACAGAAAATTTATCTAAGCTGTACCTGTAAGATCTCGTGGTTGAAGGAATGTTTGAGGAATAGAACATCTCTGCATTATATAGGGAGCGATCAGTAGCTGGGGATGGAGGTGGGTTCAAGATCTAGGAAAAATAAAAAGCAGTATGTACGTCTGAGTTCATTATACAGCTCTATTTATTTTGAAAAGATTACTCATGTCTTCAACAGGTCACTCTGCCTTATTTTGGTTTCCTTCCCTTGCTGTTTGGATAGATTAATGCATTTTTTAAAGGTCACTTAAGTTCACTATGAGAGATTAACTCTGGTCTTAGGTACATTGCTGGTCTTCTGTGTTCTCATGGTAAAGGGAATTTTCTTCCTTGCTGCACTCACTGTGCTGCTGGAAGGCTGATGTAAAGCTGGAAACTGGACCCAGTTTTTATGAATCTCAGTGCAGTTCCTTGGACGTAAGGACTGACATCATCCTCAGTAAATGCTAATAGGAAAAAAGTCTGTTCGATCCCCAGGTCTTAAACTTACCACCATACAATAGTAGGGTCAGGAGGCCCAGTTCGGCACAGTTCACAATGCAAAGAGCCTAGGAGCTAAGAAATAGTTAGAGCCTGCCCTAGCCTGTGTGCGCATGTACATGATTGCTGATAACCCTTAATCTATGAAAACAGCTTGTTATGATTCAGGATAAATAGAATTCCTTTAGGGTTCTTACCCCTCTAGCAGGAAGCAGAACCTGTGACATGGCCAGCAGGACAGTGGCCTAAAACTAAGGAGAGTGCTTCATCCCTTCCAATGCAGAAAAACATTGCATCGCTGCTGATGGCAAGGCCTTGCTACTGTTGTGAGCATCTTCTGAGCAGCCTTTCTAGGGCATTCTGCTGAGCTACAGCCTGCCACAGTAACTGTGACAGCATCCTTCCTCAGCCTCTGTCCTTCTCTCGCAGTAATACTGTAAGATCACTGGAACAGAGATCATCCTTTACGTCTTCACTGTGCAGTGTCTATCAAAATGACTCCTGACCATTCAGCTGAGCTCATCAGCATCTACAAGAATACTGATAATGTGACAAATACTGTCAATCCAGACAAGCTTGAATACCACACATTGCCAGCTGTGGGGGATGATAACTAATTGCCCCAAGAACCTCATCCAGAATTCTACTTCTGAATTCTCTTACAACCACCTCTTCTGGTACCAGCATTTTCTCCCAGTGTGAACACTTGGTTCTTTGATTCAATAATCATCACTTCAGGTAAAGAGCAAGCTGAGCTTATTTCTTATGCATTTTCATTCTACTCTTTGTCTTTTCATTCCATGTGTGCCTGCTGTATTATACAGCACAAAATGTCATTGGGCCACTGACATCAGTTCACAAAGAGCAAAAGAGGTACAAAGGTATCTCAAGACAGAAGAACAGAAGTGCTCAGGAAGAACCCAAATGAGTATCACTCTAATAACAAAACATTTTAGACATCATATAGTATTGTGTAACCTTGGTGAAATACAACAAAGCCCTTTTGTGAAGTTCAGCAGGTGTTGGACTAGGCCTGTATTTTTCATAAACAGTACCACCCAAGAACAACTGTTATTAACTTCCTATGTAGTAGCAAAAATTTTCATCTTTGTTTTCTTGAGAAGTGGATCTAATTCACATCTACATTTTCAAGACATACCTGAGGGTAGAAAGTGGCTTTAGTGCTGGATGAGCTACTAGAAGAAGCTCCAGTAACGTGATTTCTGTCATACAAGGGGGCACCACTGCTTCCTCCCATGAGGCTCATGGAGCTAATCATAGACTTTCCACAAGAGATGCCTACAATGAAACAGAGACAAAAGCAAGGTTAGGCAAACCACAACTTCATAGAATCACACAATCACAGAATTGTCTAGGCTGGAAGAGACATCCAAGATCACCCAGTCCAACCTCTGACCTAACACTAACAAGTCTTCCACTAAACCATATCACTAAGCTCTACATCTAAACATCTTTTAAAGACCTCCAAGGATGGTGACTCAACTACTTCCCTGGGCAGCCCATTCCAATGCCTTAACAACCCTTTCAGTAAAGAAGTATTTCCTAATACCCAACCTAAACCTCCCTGGTGCAACTTCAGCCCATTCCCCCTCATCCTGTCACTGGCCACGTGGGAGAATAGACCAACCCCCAGCTCACTACAGCCTACTTTAATGTCCCTATAGAAAGCAATATGGTCGCCTGAGCCTCCTCTTCTCCAGGCTGAACAAGCCCAGCTCCCTCAGCCGCTCCTCGTAGGACTTGTTCTCCAGGCCCTTCACCAGCTTCGTTGCCCTTCTCTGGACTCAGTCGAGCGCCTCAATGTCCTTCTTGTAGCGAGGGGCCCAAAACTGAACACAGTACTCGAGGTGCGGCCTCACCAGAGCCGAGTACAGGGGGACAATCACTTCCCTAGCCCTACTGGTCACACTGCTTCTTATGCAAGCCAGGATGCTGTTGGCCTTCTTGGCCACCTGAGCACACTGCTGGCTCATATTCAGCTCACTAAACAGCTTTCCAACCACTCATCTCCCAGCCTGTAGCTCTGCTTGGGCTGTGCCCCAGGTGCAGGACCCGGCATTTGGCCTTGTTGAACTTCATGCAGTTGACCTCAGCCCATCGGTGCAGCCTTTCCAAATCCTTTGCATCTACCAATGCAAAACAGCAAACAAGTCCACAGCTTGGCAAACCCATGCAACTCAGTTGTCACTTTTGGAATGATCTTTTATATAAAAACTTCAGGATCACAAGGAACAACATATTTTCAAATTTATGTTATGTAAAGAAAACATCTCATCCCCAGACCACCTATTGTGTCTCTGCAGCAGTGAACTCCTCAAAAACAACTGTCACAGTCTGCCGAGGAAGGGATCTCTAGAACAGTTGATCCAAACTTTCCACAAAATCGCTAATTAAAAAATTTTCCAATTAAACAAACTCATGCATTTGCCAAAAACAATCAAAACAAACAAACAAACATTATACATTGCTTAAGAGAAAAAAGGCAGAGACCTACAAAGTTTTAATTTTTTTCATTTCCATCCAAAGAAATTTAACTGCAAATTCATGAACAAGAGCAAAAAATAATTATCCTTACTGAAAAAAAATATCATTGCTTAAACTGAAAATCAACAGAAGAAAAAGGAAGGAAATCTGGGTGACAGGAAAAGGGGAAGAAAACATCCTCCAATCTCTTTATTTCCATGATGCACTTAAATCAGGCAATAGATTTTCAGCTTCTTCCTGTCAGAATATCCAGTCCTAATGAAAGAGTTTAGTTTGGAAGTTTTCAGAAACTTTTGAGACTTGGGACATAATATATTACAAGCAGTGACCGTTTGTGAGCATCTTTTATGGCCACTTAGCTTTTTTGAAATGCCATGCTATTAATAAATTATGTCTTCTCTTTAGAATTAACATCAATGATAAGATTTTTCAGATGTTGTAATTAAAAAAAAAACAAACAACAATACGGAGACAAAAATCTATGGCAGCAGGATTAGGAAATAAACCCAACAAATATGAACAGGGATCAGAATGACAACTCAGATCAGCACCCACGGTGCTACAGATTAAAAACCACTAATACTTTCTTTAATTAAAAAAGCTTTTATATGAAGTCCAATTCAGAACACCACTGCAAAGATTTCACCTGCAATGATTTCATCTTCAAATTTTATTTCCTACCACAAAACCTCCTGATAACCATAAAAGCATAGTTTAAACAGGAACAGCTGACCACAGTCATTAAAAAGCAAAGAGTATCTGGTTGTCTTCAAAATCATGGCTAGAAGAAACCAACAGTTAGCACATCTCAAAATCTTGTTTATATGAAGAAATGCCACATCTTTTCACTGGTCTGTAAGTTTATCATTTATCTGATTTTAAGATGACAGGAAAAACAGACTCTAAGCACTCTGAAATATGGATTTCTTGCATTCTGACCCTGTCTGGTAGGTTTACAGGTGACCATTTACATTACAGCTTCCTGAATAAGAAATATTCTTTCTTCTCAGGCCTTTATAGTTAAGAAATATTTTTTTCCTCTATGAAAAGTATATTTTATATTTGTAAAATCATTCAAAATACATCACTTAAGTGTTTACTTTGGGCAGTTATCTATTAGCTGAATATCCCAGCCTTTTTAGGTCCTTCAGTCTCATCTTAATATCTGCATACAAGTCTCTGGATCGGTGTTTTGATTACTTTGCAAGGTAGAGAAGTTTTGCTGTTTTACAGATGGAGGACTGAGACACAGAGAGAATATAAATACTTTGTCCAAAACAAACAGGAAATTTATCTCAGAGATGGACTAAACCAGAGGGGATGTTTTCGTTACATTTCAGGCACTGAGCAGCCAGACTGCAAAACCACACCCAGACTGCTTATGTTCTTCCACATTTGTTGTTGTAACTTTGGGGAGGGATGTTTAGCCCCTGCTTTAATGTATTACATTAGCCTAAGCTTCTTCACTTCTTTTCTCTGGTTCTTTCCACTGCGAAAGAACTTATCCACCCTGAGCACACAGGGGAAAGCTGTGTGAAGACCTTTGAATGTACAGGACAGAAACAAGGACATCGGAGTACAAGGCACAAAGAACAGAACAGAGCTCTCACTAAGATCCTGAATGGCACAAAGAATTCTTAGTTTCCAATACTGTACATGGTTCACTACTCTTCATAGTGTTTTGCAGGCCTCAAGTAAGAAGTATTATGCAAAACACAGACACCATTACATACATCAGGAAGTTAAAGGGGGTGTTTTTCACAGGCTAAGTATTTCTATAGTTTCTATCTTCTTTCATAAATGTGTACATGCAATCTAGGGAAAAAATGTATTTGAAAATCTAGTGATTTTCTAGGTCCCTCGTGAACTGCATCTAGTAGTTTTTGCAAATCTGATCCAAATCACAGATTTATACCAAAACCACAGAGCAGATCAACAACACCATTTCTGCTCTTTGAAATCCCTACCTCTAGGACTATTAACCTGCAAAACCTGTAAAAAATACATATATCCAGACAATGTAACTCATTAAGGTTCTTACCATCCTTACCAGTAAAAGTGCCATGCTGAGAACTTCCTGGAGCGATAAAGTTAAGAGGGACGTGAGGGGTTCCACTGACGTACTCATGTGGAAAGGGGCTATTGGGCCCGGCATAGCGCTGACACACCACTCGCTGGCAAACAAAGTACATTCCTCCCATGACAAATAGGGACAGTATTATCCCAATGACAGGACCGATGGCACTGCTGTGGGGTTGTGGTTCATCTGAGGCTGGTTTTGTTTTCTCTGGAAAGAGAAGGAAAAAACAAGGAGGTTATTAAACATGGCACTACATATGATGCTGTCCCAGAGCATGTGCAGCACATCAGTCAGCTCCCAGTCATTCACACAATGGCTTTGGAAGTCTCTGCACCAAACTCAGGCAATAACTTTTTCTGATTTAACACACAACACACCACCATGCCCTTCATTACCCTCCATGTACTTAAAGAAGTCATACCAAGCTACTCTCCTTTCTGTCTAGCAATTCGTCTTGTAACAGGATTCCTTATCATGTTGATATAATAACAGCCCATGCAGTTTTATTTACTCTACACCCTCAAAATCTGTTAGAGGACGCTCATAAACAATTCCTTATCCATAGAGGAATCTGGTCTCCCAAAAGCCATTTGGACTAGCAATACCATTAAAAAAATAAAGTCTTCACTGGTGGGGAAGCTATGGTGCATCTCTTCATACCTCAAATATCCCTTAAACAGAATACTTTTCCTTCCTAAAATGTCGCTAAGTAACTTGTTTTCTAAAAGGAACCTTACAAATTGGAGGAAAAGCACAACTCAAAATACCTTTAATACTTTCTACTTTTTATTTCTTTTCCTCATATTTACAGCCTAGTGTTAAATAATAAAAAGTGCTGCAGTATTTGAGATGAGTTTTGTACCTCATCTCATATTGACTATGGGCAACACATTCCAAATTATTCCCAAATTCTTGCCTTTCAGTTGAAAGAAATGCAAAAGAACTGAAATTTGAGAAGGAGGATAAAGGAAATACAAAGATCTATCAATAAACTTTTAACAGCTCAACAAGAATTCATTTCTGTTGTACTTATTACTGCGTAACAGCTTTTATGTCAGCTGAGGACGTAATCTTTAAATAGGCAAGATTAAGTTCAGATATGATACCAGAAAAAAGCGAAGACAAAATTAAAACATATTCCTAATTTAAAGCACAAAATTTTCAATTCTAGCTTTTTTTTTTTTAAATGCAAGATTCTTATCCTGAAAGTAGCAAACATTTTTACTACCTACTTGACTATCATTATATGCTCCCTTAATCTGCCCCACTGCATGAAACTTCATGCACTAGTCACCCAGATGACACAAAAAAGGGAATATGCAAGCAGAGCAGAAATAGGTAACTTTTACTGTTAACTCCAGACTGTACAATAAGACCCAGCTAAGGACTAATACAGCAACTGCTGTCAGCATGCCTGTAACTTGCATATACCTCCTACTGCCCTAAGAATTCAAAGTAACATTTTTGTCCAGAAAAATCTAGGTTTCTCCTTATATTCTTTTCCTACCTGCACTTTAAGAGACCAGCTTGTGGTCTCTGTGGACACTTGCATGTTAGTTGCTCCACATAATTAGCCTCCAGCTCGAGTCTGTAATTGCAGTAGATAGGGCTGCATATTTTTAAAATCTACCCCAAGCTTAGCAGCAGCTGTGCATGTTCCAAAGAACTCAGTGGAATAGCACATAGTGGAATCAGGTCATTCTGGGTGTAGATATGAAGGCATATCCAAACAAAGCAGCATTATCCCATACTGGATTTTAGAACTAGCCTGAAGTAACACTGGGATTTCTGTTTATCTTCACTACTGCTATTATTGCATTATCTTGAATAATGGCACTGCAGACATGCTGTGCCATGCTGCAACCTCACACTCTTTTGCCACACAGATCAATGGAAGAATGTGGGTATGTATAGCAGCCAAAAACAACTGCGAGTATAGGGCCAAGACTCACTGGGTTTCCCTGAAGGAATATTCTTACCCAGAGCCTGAGGCTCTGCATATAGTTGCAAGGTATTATGCCTGAAAACAGAGCTCTTGAATCTGAAGCAAAGACATCTCACCACAAATGAGCTCATCAGATCCATCGATGCAATCTGGAAAGGAGTCACACTGTTGCTTCAGGAGGATGCACTGGCCACTGGCACATCGGAACTGATTGGGCAGACAAAGTGCTGCACAGAAAGAAAAAAAAGATTAAGCACTACAGGCATGGCAGCACCTTAAGAAAACCAAAACGTGAGACATGTCAAGCCACAAATACCAACAGGTATGCACCAGAACACTTGTTTTGCTGCAGTAGGTAAAATGCAACTGCATTTCTCTGATTCTTCCTTCTTCTTACACATCCTACTTAGTGGGACTAAAATAAAATTCTGATCCCAGTAACACCACATCCTTTGTCAATTTGGTCCCATTGAGGCAAAACTGGGAATAAATCAGCAAGAATCTTTTACTATAATTAACAAAGTGTAACTGATCACCTGCAATTTAAAAAATGTAGTAACTCGATATATCAAACCTTATATACTCTATGCTATCTTATGACACCCTATGAACTCTTACTCGGCTAAGTAACTGTTAAACTTCTTATCTATATACAGAAGCCTCCATTTCAGCAAAAAGGGTTTGTTAATTAACTCTGGAATCTCTGTGATGTCAAAGCATATTAAATGATAAGTAAACAGAGTTCTTATGAGAGCTAGTAACCAGCACCCCTGGAAGGTTCACTGTATAGAGAAAAACAGCATCATTTGACAGCTTAGCTAGGCTTACGGGTAACGCTTTTTTTCCCAATTTGAAACTAAAAATCATAAATGTACATCAGGAATAGTTAGAATCCCAAGTAGGTGCTTATGTTAGAGCCAAGAGGTAAGGAAAATGAATCTTACTATCACAATCCACTTCATCAGATTTATCTTGGCAGTCAATTTCTCCATTACACCGCAAATGTGCATCAATACATTGTCCTTTCTCACACTGGAATTGGGACGCAGAGCATATGGGGCAACTATCTTCATCACTCTGGTCATCACACTCTGGAAATCCATCACATCGCCACGCCATTGGGATACAGTCAATTTCTCCAGTTGCACAGGTAAATTGGTCTGGGGAACAAGTTGGAGGTTCTGGAGAAAGAGGAAACAAAACACATGTGTGCATTCAATTTTAGCCCTTTTGACAGAGTAAAATGAGATAGACTTTTTCCACAGATGGAGAAAATCATGCTTATGCATTCACTTAAGTTCTTCTGTAAAAATGCAAGCTATTTTTAAAGTGCTTCTATCCTTCTTCATTAAGGAGAAATGTTCAAGAATGAGACGAAGTATAATCAAGAGCTTGAAAAACAAAAATGCAAGTAAAAATCCAAATGTGCTTGGTTTTTCAAAATCTTCTGATTTCTAAGTTTATGAGTTACGATTATTTGGTGTAGCAATACTGAGGACTGCAAATAGAACCAGTGACCTGGCAGCTGTAGGTAAGATAAAGATTCCAAATATACACATCAAGGTAGTTCTTGAATTAATTTTGATAGGAACGTCCTGTTCAGATAATTCAACAGCCAGATTACTAGTTCTGTCTGAATCAAGAGCCACATATGATTCTGTGATTTGCTACATGGTGGCTTCATTTGGCAGGCACAAGCTTGCATTTAAAAGCTCGACAGGAGTGTTCACGAGGGTACATGGACAAATATTCTCCAATCAAAATAGCTACAAATCTGTTTGGAAATACTTGCTATGGGCTGCTACTACTGCAGACCAGATAGATCAAAAAGCTGTTGCAGGCTTACAGAAGGATTAGAATAAAAACAAACAAACAAAAAACAGAGACTGAAAGGAAGGCCCCTTAATTTTTACATTTATAGAAGATAAAGTAGCGAGATATAATCTCCCATAGGCCATGTTTTTGTTTTTAAACAAAAGTATAGCAACAAATATAAGTAGATTGTTTTATTTTCCCTCCTGCAGATGTAACTGCCACTACTCTGAAACCACATAGCATGTTGTGGTCATGGGAAAGAAAACAGTTTATAATAGAAAGGACTGTCCCATGGGAGATCAGAGCTCAGCCAGAAGAATTAAATCCACAGCAAAATGAGTATATAATAAAGCCAAGACAACCAAAAGGGACAGATGACTGAACACCCAGAAAATAAATATTTTTTCCCCATTTTAAATCCCCTCTACAAGATTAAGGTAACAATTTTCAAAAATCCTGGGACTGGAAGATCGAAGTCTAAAGAGAAAGCCTACCAACTGAGTTTTTGGCCTCTCATTAACTAGACAGAACAGTGTTTCATGTTATCAGGCCAAATTCATTTGAAAGACTAGAATGGTGTGGGAATCACATGCACAGTTTCTGCTACTAGGTTATCATGGGTTGATTTAGTATGATGTTATAAGCAGTTGTTTATAGCACAAAGCTGTCACATCATAAAACCGTAAGAAACTCTCAGTGGAAGATGCAACTGTTTTAAGGTCCAACAGAAGTATTCTGCATGCAACAAAAAGTCACACGTCCAAAAACTTAAGCAGAAAATCAAAGGTCACATTTAAGACACAATGCAGCATATCACGTCTAAGAAAACACTGTGTGTAAATACGTGTTCTGGATTTGAATGCAACCTCCTGCAGAAAGTTCATATAATTTTATACCATATACAAGTCACAAATACCCTGGTGGACAAGTTTCTTGCATCAGTTACCAACTGATTTTGGTCACTCTGGCTTCATTCATTTAGTTATTTTTGAAAATATCTTATTTTAGAGAGAGAGTTCTCAAGACCTATCAGCGTATCAGCTTGTGACATAGTCAAGACCAATTTTCCAATGGTTCTAAGAATACATCTCCTCAATCCCATCTTTTTTTTTTTAATTATTATTATTATTATTATTATTTTTACCTTTAACAGTTGTGCTAAGAAGTTTACGTAACTCACCTCCACAAGTTAAGAGATTCTGTAGAAGCACAAGGTGCTCTGGACATGAACATCTTGGAGTCCCATCCCCTTTGGCAATGCAGATGTGCGAACACCCACCATTGTCACGGGAGCATGGATGTGCAGCTGCAGAAACATACAAAAAGGAATATTAGTATTAAAAAAAATCCTAACTACTAGCTAAGGCAAGCTCACAAAACCACTCATAAAGCAATTCTGTTTTCAGTAAATAAGATTTCACTAAAATTCATAGGAAGATAATTGCAGGATTTTTCAGGTCTGTGCTCAAGAGCTGATTTACTGCTACACAAGGACTACGTCTCTTCCAGACACAGTGATATGGAGATCTTTAAAAGACTTCTAAAACAAATTTGGGAGCTCAGGTGAAGAGAAGTGAGAAAGCAGATTTGAGAAGGTCACACCTAAGATGTACCTACATATCTCATCTGTACTTCTAGAGTAGTCAGGCATCAAGAATTAACATATATTACTGCAGAATGCCACCCTTCCCAAAATCCTCACGAACTCTCCTCTAATTTCAGAGACCTCTTAACATCCAGCCCTACCACTCAGCTCCTGTTCCCCCCAATAAGCCCTCACCACTTCCCCGTTACTCACAAAACTGCAGTGTAAGAACACACACCTCGCGGAACACACATGGCTGTGTTCCCAAATCAGTTATTCAGAAGCACTGAGTACCCAAGAGCTTGTAATAGAATCAAACTAAATTAACATTAGTTGGATGAGAAACAGGCACAGAGAGGTGAAGTCACTGTCTGAAGACCCCAGCCCGTCTGAGTGAGAACAGAGCCAGTCTCCTGCCTGCTTATCTCATGTCTTAAGCGTGCCGAGCATCTGCTGGAGTGATCTGTGGAGCAGGAGCCTCTGTTATTCGTGATGCCACCGAACAATGCATTCTTTACTACTAGTGAGGAGCAAGAATTTCCACAGGGAAGAAGTAGTATAAATATCATTATTTCTGTGCCAAAGTTGTTTTCCATCTGTTCAGACTTCTTAGCGGTCTGCTTTCGCCCTTAATAAATTAATCAATTTAACATAGCAATGGAAACATTACTATGTGAGGCACAGGTTAGCAGATTTTCTGCTAGCAGAAGAAGTGCACACATACTTGTGTGGGCATGCACACTTGCACATGTTATTTTTACCCACTTGTAACAGAAGTCACCTATATTGGATAGATTTCAGATGTAAAAAGCGATTTGCTTCAGTGCATCTCTGAATAAATATTACTCTTGCCATAAAAAAAACAGACATTTTAGAAAACACATTGATATAAAGTCCTCTTTTTTTTTTTCTTTTATTAAACACAAATGTCCCCCAAGTACCCTTTACAGATTAATCCTACACAGGGTCACCATACAAGTTCAACTCATCTTAGGCCACAAAGTCTGAAGAGGCCTTCTGGTTCCCACATCTTGTGCTTTTATATTCTCAGCAGGCCTAGTAAAAGCAGGAGGAGCTGCAGGTTGCCACCCTGAGGAGCGACTGCTTCAAGGGGATTCTGCACTCTCCCTCAGGGCACTGGAACTGAGGCACCAGGCCAGAAAAATAAGGTCCAACCATCAGCGACCCCTGTCAGAAGGGATCAGCTACCACCTCGGTAGGAGAGAAATTCCACAACCACTGAAGTTCATTTTAGGAACTTCCCGCCTATTCCCCCTCCCTTACTGGAGGCTTCTATGTTATCAATTGTGCTGAGTCAAACCAGTCACATTTTAGAAATGGGTCTGAAATGCCTCAAGAAAAGGCAATTACTATCCTCTCCTTTCTTTTTAAAGATTTTTTTGAACTCTGTTACTTGGTTGTACTTATATATACACATAAAATTAAAAACCGTAATTCCAAACAACTTTTAGAGTGAATTCAGTATCATGTGAGCTCGTGCAAAGCAACTAACTAAGGTGTTGTGAAATTGCACAGTCTAGCTGAACAGGAGGACTCCTCTGGACAAGAGTAAGAAACTTGTTTATCTTTCTGTTCTAGAGTCCCAGCCCTCCAAGTTGAAAGCACTCCATGTCTTAACTTAAAGCCCACAGGGCAGTATTATTAAAACATGCAGCTGGATGAGGAATTTGAGAGACAGTGGCCAAGAGTCACAGAGAGATATTTAAATAAACTCACAGAATTCCTCCATATCGAGTTCTTCCACAGCATGAATGCCTGTTAGGTGAGCGATTCGGCCTTGAATTCTAGTCCTTTTGTATCCGTTAGTTTTCTCCACTCTCTCAATCATCTGCTGCTGACGATCAATCCAGTACAGGTGATTCCCCAGCACTGTCAGTCCCATCGGCTGAAGGATGTTGGAGTCCTCCAGGGTCACGCGGTTAGCACCTGAGATCAACAGAAACGACTTTTAACTCATTTCAGCAACAACAAAACCAAACCAACCAACCAAAACAAAATAAAAAACACAAAAAGAAAAAAAAAAACCACTACATTTTGAAACATGCTCTGACATGATTTTGGGGGTTTCTAAAACCAGCTCCAGTACATTCATTTCAGAAGGAGCTCTTAGGTTAACGGCTCCATTTGTCTTGGCAGACCATGGCAGTACTTGTTCAGTTTCATTTCAGGTAAGTGCAACAAATTATTACAAGGGCAAGCAGATCCAGTATGAAGCACAGCTCATCCTTGGGTACGTTGGCTCATCAGCCAGCCATGAAGAGCCTCACATTGGCATGGTCTGTTATAAATAACTGTGAGCAGTTTTGTTATGGTTTTGGCTGGGATAGAGTTAATTTTCTTCATAGTAGCTGGAATGTTTTGGATTTAGGATGAAAATATGTTGATTATACACCTATGTTTTAGTTGTTGCAGAGTAGTGCTTACACTAAGTCAAGGACTTTTTGGCTTCTCATGCTGCCCTGCCAGGGCGGAGGCTGGGGTGCACAGGGAGCTGGAAGGGGACAGAACCAGCACCGCTGACCCAAACTGGCCAAAGGGATATTCCATACCATGTGCATCACGCTCAATCATCAAATTGAGGCTGCCGTTGCTTGGGGACTGGCTGGGCATCATTCAGCAGGCAGTAAGCAATCACATTGTGCATTGCTTGTTTTGTTTATTTTTATTATTTTTAATCATTTTGCTTTCCCTTTTTCTTTCTTATTAAAATGTCCTTATCTCAACCTGTGAGTTTTTGCTTTTTGCAGTTATCTCCCCTATCCCACTGGGTTGTGGAGGGTCTCCTCTCTTGGAACTTTTTTTTTAAACAATACATTCACACACCTAGCAGTAAACTTTGTTGGAATGTACAAGCAAGAATTAAATAGAAGTAATTAGCTTTACTGCCATTCCTATCATAAAACACAACACACAGTAATCATGCAAAACAAGAATCAAGCAATCAAATCCTGTCATATGCTATATCACATCCTCAGAGATAATGATCGCAAAAAAAAACCTTATATTCCAGCAAGCATACTTCTTTCTTCAATTTCTTTCTTTCTTCAGTAACCAAGCAGAAAACCCAAGTTCCGTGTTTAGCAAAAGTGAAATGTAACTCAAGAGGCTTTTAAACAAGATCATCATCAAATGTTCAGATTTACTGCTCTACAAAATAAATCTCAATCAAGGTGTAAAAATCTGGTTAAACAAAAATGAATGTTGACTGCTTTTAATTTTAATTGCTTGCAGTCTTCTGTCATGTGCTGCACTACAGTTAGTGGCACTTAAGTGTTGCTTTTGTTATGCTTGCCTAGGGTGAACAAGAGGTCCCAGATTTTTCTATTAATTCACAGAAAACATTTTTAGTGTATACCACACATATTTGGTTTCAAAAATGAAGAATACAAAACAGAATTATAACTTGGTGCTACCTCTCATCTGATGTTTCATTTTAGAATAAAGGCCTTATGCCTGCTTGCATTTTACAAAAAATGGAAGTTTTCAATATCTACTCAAAATGAGATTACTGAATCTGGATACATAATAAAAATGCTAATGAACAGTAGATTCAACTAATTTGCTGCATAAATTATGTGGAGCTCAGCCAAGCATAAGAATATGACATTTATTTCAATTACAGACTATTAATTTTGCACATAAACTTACTGCCCACAACTCTCGCTTGACTGCCATGATGAACGTTGCCCAGCATACATTACCGTGAAATTTAGAAAACAGAATAAAGAGAGGTCAGAAATTCTTGTACTTGCAGTTGGTGTTTTAGTTCTTTATCCCTGAATATATTTTGCTTTCAAACCAATGAGCAAGACACCTGTTTTGTTTCATTTTCAGAAGGAACACTCGAAGTGTGTATGATAGCACAGTCCTGGTTGTAATCTGATGCATCTTTTATTGTACATGCTTCTACTGGATTTTACTCTTGTAAGGACATACGTGGAACAGAACCAACGCACTTGCACTGGTTTCATTCACTAAATCAGACCCTTAGTAATACTCTCTAGCAGTGCAATTCCTGGCATGTCCTTTGTCTTCTCTTAAATGTACAGATCTTAAAAATTAGAAATACTGTGAAACATAACATTTTGACAAAAGAAGGTATACAGTGAAAAAAATACAAGGTATTTTGTTCATTTGCTCTACAGTCTGTGAGCACCCTTAATCCCTATGAACTTCAGCAACGTTGGACCATCAACGATAACTGTTCTTTTGTCAGACTCTGGGGTCAAACTTTGAAAAAGCAGAAGTTTCAGCTGTATCTAAAATAAGTCAAGAATGGGAAAACCTAATTTACAAATTATATAATGAAATCCTCCTTTCGTTTTCTTAAGTGCTAAGTTGGTAACTTCCATTTAGAAATAAAAGGCAAGCTGGTATCCTGAGGACATCCTAAAACCATGAAGACACAAGGTGTCTAGTGACACTTGCAAGCTAGCAGTCCTGCTACAACCCTAGCCTCTTTGAACAGCCTCCCAAACAGGCTACATTTAACGGTTTTTGGGATATACCTTCAAGCATCATCTTTTTCCTCCCTCGTCTATAAAAAGCTGAACATGGGTGATTTGTGAAGCTCTGGAGAGAGCACTGGAGGTGGTGACTGATTTATACTGAACTATGCTGGATTTGATCTTAAGTAAATGACAGTCCAAATAGTAATTCTAAAAGGAGAGGCAAAGAGCACTGATAGCACTGGATGACGCCATTAGATTGTTGTTTAGAAAAATGAATAAAATGAAAAACAGAGTGAACAGAAGGATATTTTCAGCAGATACGCTTAAAAAAAGGTAAAGAAAACATGCTACAAGTGTTGAATTTCCACAGTAATTAAGTATTCTAGTTACCAAAACGAAACAGATGTGTAGTCTTTTCAAGACTGAAATTAACACTTAAATGTAAATAACATTAAGGTGGAAGGACACCAACTGCTGTATTTAAAATATTTGAAATTAAAGCATTTTTATAGATTTTTCCAGTCACTTCAATGATAATATAAAATGCTACTTTTTAATTGACTGATATGGCAGACAAGTTATTTGCAAATGTTTTATGAGTGTCTGAAAAGCATCAATAGCTCCAGCTGAAAAATCCAACAACTTTGCAAATAAGTGTTCACTCTCTGGACAGGTTTGTAGTTCTTTCATCCCTCTCTGAAAGTTAATAAGTTGAGTATTGGTCACCCGAGCATTTAGCAGGCTGCTATTAACTATCAGGGTATAGGGAAAGCTTCAGAAACCTCCAGAAACATATAATCTCCCCAAGTCTGTGAGGGAATAAGATTGTTTGGAACTGTCTAATCAGCAAGGAGGACACTACGTAGAACTTGAGTCCATTTTTTTCAGCAGCCTCAATTTACACTAGAAATCCTTTTGCTAGCATATGACCTATTTAAAAGTGACAGCTCAAGAAATACTTTTTGAGGAAATAATTCAACCCAACCTAACTTCGGCTATCAATTTTTTTCTGACGCTGTGATACAAGACTGCAAAATATACAGAATATTTTAAAATAAAAACTGTTAACTTCTAAAAAAAGAACAACAAAACAACTACAAAACAGCTCAGTGGATCAAATTACAGTGAGCTTTAGCTAGATCAACCATAACCAGAGTTCTCTGTCTACCTGATGCATGGCTTCCAGTTATTGCTTTCGTTTACTTCTGTAGCTTTCCTCCCCTTTATCTTGCCTTTACGGTTTGATTCTTCAGTTGTAACCCCATCGAATAAATGTGCATGAAAAGCTTTGTTTCAATATTAACCAGAGAAAGTTTAGTTTTCTCTGTAAATAAATGGATTAAAATATAAGTCCAGTATTCAAACCTATGCTTATATAGAGTTTCCATGTCACCAAAAGGAGGAATGCATACCACATACAAAGGAAATGGCAACCACAGGATACAAACTACCAGAGTGTGATGGCCTAGCTGCTAAGTTACTCCTATATGAGTAAATTAGTAAAGTCCTTTTGCCTTAGACTTAGATCTAAAACAGTAATCTACAGACTGCTTCTGCCTTTTATGCTGTACCACGCAAGGACTCAGCTTGTCTCCAGCAAGAAACACCCACCTCTTGTGATCCTCCTTGCCTGCTAGCTGTGACTCAGCCTTGCATGCATGCTAAATCCAAGGGGAAAAAAGGCATGCTTTTTTACATACATGTAAAAGCCACAGCTAGGTCCACTGCGTGCTACAGCTTCATTAAATAATACGGCTTTCTGTTACATGGGGGTCATCTTTTTAATCTACAGCAACACTAGTTACCAGCCCTCTCCTCAGCTCATCACTTCTCACAGATACATCTCCCCTCTCTGAGGCCATCAAAGTCTCAGTCTCTCAGTCTTCCTTGGTACCTCTTCTCTCCCTCCCATTCTTGTAAAAAAGTGAACAATTTTCATCTATTTTAGTTCATTGCCTCTCAAGGGAAGGGATGTGACTACATGGGATTAAGAGAAAGTCCATCAAAAATTGGAGGCTCAGCTTTTTACGGCAGCTGCCAATCACTAGAACAGCCCAGTTTCTACTCCCTGACACTCATTCACTTCTCTCTGTACTTCCTTTAGGAGTTTAATTTTTTCACACAAAGGAAGAGAGAATGAATCACAAGTGACAAGACACAGACATTGGATCCTCTGTGCTACACTGCACATTTCTCCATTTTTCAGCACTGCCAACTGCTTTAGAATTCAGAGATGAACAGCGCTCTGTAAGAAGCACGTGGTGCTACTGCTATAGATGTGGAATAATGCATTATTTTACTAATATGGAAAAAGTGCAATGAATTGTCATCTCTCCACTGTTTTACAACACTGGTGTTCCAGGTGAGCTGCCTTATCATCCTTCTTAGAAAAAACTTTGCTACCCCTTCCATTTGTTCTTCTAGTTACCTTGGTTTAGTAGGCTGTAACCTCCAGAGAAAAAATATTGAAGAGTTATGCAAACTTCTAAGCCAGAAGAAAATAAAAAGCAGGAGTAATTTAGTGGTGCCATGACTAGCAACACCTATTTTAATCTGATCTTCCAAGAGTTGCTTTCAGAACATATCAAAAATCAAATGTCCCTCTTGGAGGGTAGCAGTCATTACAGACACATTTATTCCAATCACATCAAAGACAGAAGCCCACCAGCAATTGTTAGCTGTGCCTGCCTGCACAGAACTGGCAACTGTGGAAGAAGTTACTGGGGTCAGTATCAAAGAGGGAATGATGTCCTATACATCACACACGCTGCTCCAAATGTTTAACTGCATACCACATACCTGACAAGTCACAGCTTTCGATGCGCTTCAGATCTGCATCCACCCAGAAAAGCTTTCCAAGTTTGTTGTCAATCACCAATGCTACGGGGCGGATCAACCCAGTGGTAAAAAGCACTTCTCTCTCTGTGCCATCGAGGGCTGCACGCTCAATCTTGGGAGCTCGCTCTTGCATGTTGGTGAAGTACATGTACCTGAGAACAAAGCCACCAGCTGATTAACTAAAAGCTTCAGGAGTCAAGGGAAGCAGCTCACCTTCACACACAGGTTCTCAGTTGTAAGTGGGGATGGTGTACACAGGGATGACTGGTGACTATTGCTCCCAACTGCAAAGATCCAGATCTATGCAGCTGCAGAAGCTCCAACATTTGCTAAACGGCATATTGAGACAGCCTAAAAATAACTGCATTTCTCCTGAATACACCAGGCCATAAAATGCTTCAGCATTCAGCACTGCTGCCCTGCAATATTCCTGCAGTGGAGGTAGGGATTGTAAGAGGCTAGCACAGAAGACTTTCTGCAACTGTCCTCAGGTAAAGCTCTCCCCACCTTCTTTCTGACAAAAAAACAAATTAACAAAAACCCGCAACACAATTACCTCCTTTCTGGGGTTCCTTTCTTCACAGCAAGTATAAGTTCCTACTAAACTTAAGAGGAACAATGATCACAGAAGAAAGAACAACTGAGAATGTCGTGTTCCTGATGGCATAGTTCCATGAATACTTTATATCTGCCTAAGCCAGCTCAGCTGCAAACAGGAGCAGCTTCTGCTCTCCTCTGCATAATTAAAAAAATGGCTTGTGCATCCACACAGTGAACTGAGAACTCCTTCAGGGAAAAATCTACCATTTCTTCAGTGATACATAACTTGGGCAGATTCACTGCTGCATAGGCATTCCTGATGGCATGAACGAGGAGATGCAGCAGTGAGAACGAGCAAGCCAAGGGAGAGCTGGAGAGAAGGATTTCTGGAACTAAGGCAGGACAGTGCACAGATCTGATTCAGCCCTCCCAGGTAGTCAGTGTGTTCTTCTACATTGTCTCTCTCCCATTTTTACCTCTTTTAATTTAAAAGCAGGTTTACCTTTAATTCATTTTAAAGCCCAACCTGAAAAGTTGAATGTTTTAGTGATCAACAAACCCAAACTCCCATTTTAATGGGGAATGAGGAAAGTTTTTATAAATACTAACAATGTCCAAGTGAGTTAGTCCCAATCAGATTAGAATCTTTTCTCTAATCCCCCTCTTCCCACAGCAGCTTTTGAACCATGCAGTGAGCATTGTACAAAATAACAGTCCCACAAATGTTCCACGTAGGGTCTCTGAGTACTATTGTATCCACACAGTTATGAAATATTGTTCATCCAACATCTGTCAAACACATATCAAAGCCACCTAAGAGTAAACTGGGGTTTAAGCATCTAACTTATTCGAAGGAACAGCAAAAGGGCCATCTTTGACCTCTAAGTATAAAGTTACCTGCCACTTGAAGTGGAGATGTGGGTCTGCTGAATCTAAACAGAACTGCTTTACAGCAAAACTACAAATTTTCTTCCTGTGGGAAATCACTGCACTACCTTTACCTGTCTTAAATAATTTCAGCATTTTTTGAGATACACATCAAGACAGAATTGACTTTAAAATGTCTAGAATGTAAGATTATTTTGATTTTTTTTCAACCTCTATACTATTACATTAGCAGGAGTATTTCTATCATATGAAGATCCCTTTTTTTTTCTGGAAATACGTGTTTTATGTAACTGAACATTTATGAGGTGGATCCTCAGCTGCTGTAAACACAGTTTATAGCAGTTCCTGTTTTTTTCTGGATTTGGTGGTGAGGTTGTTGCCTGCGCACTCACACAGTGAACAGAGTAAGGTTGTTTTGTTGTGCTTTCCCCACCCATCTCAGTTCCCCACTGTAATGTACCACACGGCTGTGTGAACATCTAACTTGGCACACCAGAGGAGGCAGAAAAGGAAAGAACAGGAAGAGAAACTTGGATAACTTTAAAACCCAGAATCAGGCTATCAATCACCTATAACCTGAGCGATTAAATACGCAAAATTTCTCCTTTTTAAAATACTCAGATGCATCACAAGATTTGCACGCAGCTAACATATCCCAGATGTGCTCTGTGTGAAGAACAGAAAGAAATCTCACCCTCGCTCTGCATTCACCACAATGGCTCTGGGCTTGTCGTGATCTCCTCGCAGCACCATCCCAATTGACTCGCCGTTCAGTCTGTGGACATTGACTGAATTTGTGGCCTCACAGGTCCAGTATAAGGTATGGCTGTATATATCAATGCTGAGGTCATGTGGCTGCTTCTCGGGATTCTGGCTTTGGTTTGGAGAACTCATGACAGTAAAAGGCTGCAAGACAACGTATAAGGAATGACTTCTAATAACTATTCTGTATGAACTCTGATTGCACAAAAAGCACAGTTTACCTATGTGAAAGGTCCAGAAATACCTAAAATCACAAGGAAGCAAGTACAACAAATGTAACAAAATACACAGGATTCAAACTGTGGATGAGAGGGAAAATATCTAAAGAAAATCTGTAAGGTAATTGTAGAACACACTAAGGTCTCCCCTGAGCCTCCTTTCCTCCAGGCTAAATAACTCCAGCTCCCTCAGCCACTCTGGAGTACTGGAGCATGTAAGAAGTCCCAAAAGGAAAATAACCTTTCAGTTTGACATTACAGAGGCTCCACTAGTCTACTGCTAATCCCAGTGCCATTGGGATACTAATACCACTGGCAGGACTCCCAGCATCAAAGGAGGTTTCAAAGGTGACTGGTTTTGGTCACATCAGAGTGGTCACGGGAAAATGGTGTCTTCTTTAAAGTGTCCTGATATGGCATTCTCAATCCAAAAACAGAAACAGCAGTGAAAGAAAAGGTTGTATGGGTCAAGAAAGATGCATACACTATTCCACACTCAACTTAAGCGAAATGAATTACTCAAAACAGAATTATGTGAGAAAATTACAATATATTTCCATAGTTTGGTTTTAAGCCACCAAGTTCTACATTGTGATGGAATGTTTTCTTTTTATTTAAATCTTTATCCCTATCTTTTCTTGTCAGCGTGCCCAGAAATAAAAAGAAGTAATTCTTATCTTGAAATCAATGATAATGTTACCCAAGTATATCACGTGCATTGTTTGCAAGAAAACAAGAGTTAGCAAATTTCAGTAAAAATAGTTAGTGAAAATTGGAAAGTTAAAATTTGCAGGGGATTTGCATCTTCAAAGCTGTGCGGCCAATGTAGTGGAAAACACAGAGCAGACAAATCTCCATTGCAATTTACACCTAGCAAGTACCAAAGAGAAGCTAGACTGCAACAATTAGCACCTAGCACAATCCAAAAGAGCAAAAGAAACACTCCTTCAAAATTCACCCGCAACCCAGCTAGCTGCTTATCCTAAGATACCTCTTCCAATCTTAAAAGAAATTGCCAAAAAATCAAACCATCATCTCTTTTGTTAAAGGGCACTGTAAGATCACCAATTCCCCAGACACATGAAAAGACCAGCTCAGTTCCACTGAAAACACATTACATTGTTTAGATATGACTGCCCAAAGCTAAGAAAATATACCTCGCCCATTCTTCATTTCCTTTTGTATTCTTATTCGAACTACAGCTTTTAAAGAATCTGTTATTCTGTCCTGGGACTTAAGCAATATTAATGCATAACACTGCCCAGAAGAACAGCACACTTCTTTCCACTGTTGTATGAATAACTAGCAAAGAAAAACATTTATGCATCTAATTCAGTAAAACGATTTTGTATGCACATAAGTCTACCCCTATGTGACAAAACAGTCAGCTTTAGTAAGGGTTTTAACTACAGCTTGGATAGCTGTGAGAGTTTTCATTTTGTGACAGCTTTACAATGATGACAATATGATCACACAACTATCATGCACAATATTGATTTTAGAATACAATTTCTTTTTCTAGTATAATTCAGAGATAGTGAGCCTGCCTGACTTCATTGCCCACCCTTAGCTAAATATCACAGTTTAAGTGTTCACAGTCAGGTTGGAAATTAAGAGGAATTTCTTCTCAGAAAGAGCAGTGAGGCATTGGATTGAGTTGCCCGGGGAGGTGGTGGAGTCACCATCCCCTGGGGGTGTTTAAGGAAAGGCTGGACGTGGTGCTTAGAGCATGGTTTAGTGGGTGACAGTGGTAGGGAAACAGTTGGACCAAATAGTCTTGGAGGTCTTTTCCAACCCTAATGATTTTAGGATTCTAAGGCTCATTGTTTCAGGTACATATGATATACATAGACTATTACACTTCCTGGTGTATAACTTAAAATCCTAAAACAAACACACAAAAAACTCCAGTAATCTTTACATATAAACAGAATATACATGAATAAGCACTAGCAAGAGTAAAGTTTAAACTGATGACTCCCTGGTGCAGGGGACAGGAGGGGAAAGTCAAGCATGAATTGCAAAGAAAGACCCCTCCCCCCTAAAAAAAAACAAGTATGTACACCATGTAAACTTGCCTGAGTGCCATCATCTTTGGCTCTTTTTATAATATTCTGACGTCCATCTACCCAGTAGATCAGTTTATCTAAGGGATCATAATCAATAGCCTTCACGTTCCTTAGACCATGCATAGGCAGGATGATATCTGGACTTTGCTGATCATCTGGTATCATTCGGCTGATTGCAGACTTCTGACTAAATAACAGGAAACTGGTAGGGGCTGAAACAAGTCAAAAAAAAAGAATATAAGTAACACCAGCAATATTGAGAAATACAAAGTTGCACAGTTTTCCTACATTATCCTTTTATCTAGTTGAACTTACACAAATATGCATAAACTGCCACAAACTTCAAGTGCATGTGCATGCTGCTCTTCAGACTACCAAGAAAGCTGTTTTTTGGGTGCTATCTTTGTTGACTTCAACAACATTTAAGACAAAAAGAATTTCTCTTCCACCCACCTACAACACACTTAGTTAAAGACTGGGAAAGCTTCAATCACACAGTTGAATCACCTGGAAAGCACTTCCAGCAAAACAAGTAGGACCAGACTTGACAGTGCTGTTATTTCTAAGACTTTAAATACAAATCTTCATCCCTAATCCATATCACAAAAATGGACATAAAACTCCACATTCTGTCCTCGTATTTCAGATTACCTTTAAAGACAGAACCTTTGAAATGGATTTCTGCTACCCCTTCCCTTTCATAGTGGTTTAGGCTGGAATGGCTTGCACAAACTGCTTTTGCTTTACCCATTAAACTGTCTTCATTTCAACCAAAAAGAGTTTTCTCACCTTTACCCTTCCATTCTCTTCCACATCCCACAATGGGAAATGAGTGAGCAGCTGCAGGGTGCTTAGCTGCTTACTGGGATTAACACACAACAGTCCTTTCTGGTACCCAACATGGGGGCTTGAAGCGTTTGAGATAACAAATTTGAGTGGAGTGGCCTAGACTGATTTTTTTAGTTCTTAAAGCTGTTTAGCTACTAATTGGCAGGCTGCTGCGCTTGCCACAGGACTTGCTTGCTTACTGTGTATTGCAGTGCTTGGCAGTTCGTTGCTTTTTACTTTCGCTGTTTGCTGCAGTCCTTATCATCTTACTTTGCTGTGCCTGGGAACATTTTGATAACAGCAGCAGCCATGCGCCTGGGCTGGCAGGTGGCCAGGGAACTGCTTCTGTTCCCATGCTCCTGTACTGGACAGGCTGGAATCCCAGGGTGAATTTGAGTCAGAGGGACTGTCACCTGTGGGTAAGTCCACGAGTGAGGCAGGTGCACCCCAAAGCTTTTGTGGACATCGTTAAGTCCACACTGGTATATCTCAGGTATACCTCAAAGCATCTGTGGCTATGGAAAAGGCCATCCTAGATCACCTCAAGGTGGCTGTGGATAAGATTATGATGCAGGAAATGTGCCCCTCAAGGGATTGCAGCCCATGAACAAGACAATACAGGAACAGTTCCATCTCTACCCATGCAAAAATCCATGCCAGAAGAAGGGCAAGGGCAGGAGTACATTGCAAAGTTAAGCCCTATACAATGGTCCAAACAGACCAGGGATGGAGATTATATATACCTTTAAATGGTTGTAACCCACGATTTGAGTTGCATGTTACAGGAAATATTATAGCAGGAACCATTCAAACAAGCCTCAAAGAAGCAGCGCAAATGCAGAAGTGACCTGAGATGATCTGGTTTTGATGTCCAAGAACTCCACACAACACTGTTTCTCCTGTCCTGAGTGACCACCTTAACACACAGAACCCAAGTCATGGGCTAAATGAACTAATTGGACATTTTATGGACATCTTTATGTGGGAAGCCTGTAGACTAAGGGAGTAATATCAATGTATGAAAATTATAGGACAGAATGGGAGATGGTTGTTAATGGAGATGTATTGGATACTGCTGGACCCAAGCATGACAAGGTGCATGACGTAAGGGGTGCAGATTATCCTGGTTTTGGCTGGGATAGAGTTACTTTTCTTCACAGCAGTGGTATGTTTTGGATTTATGACCAAAACCGTGTTGATAACACACCTATGTTTTAGTCATTACTGAGCCTCCGGGCCCTTTCTGCTTCTCATGCTGCCCCACCAGCCTGGGGCTGCACAAGAATTTGGGAGTGGACACCATCAGGACCACTGACCCAAACAGACCAAATGCCAAACGGCTATTCCGCACCACATGGTGTCATGCTCAGCAATAAAACTGGGGGAAAGAAGGAGGAAGGGGGTGGCATTTGGAGTTATGACATCTGTCTTCCCATTTAACTATTACACGTGATGAGCCCTGCTTTCTTGTAAACGGCTAACCGTCTGCCTGCCAATGGGAAGCAGTGAATGAATTCCTTACTTTGCTTTGCACAGCTTTTTCTTTAGCTATTGAACTGCCTTCATCTCACCCCAAAAGTTGTCTCCATTTTATCCTTCTGACTCTTTCCCTCAGGAATTAGTGAGAGAGTAGCTGGGTGGTGTTTAGCTACCTACCAACATGAACCCACAACACTTTCCTATGCTGAAAGAAATCACAAGCACATGGCATCCACAAGCAATGAGGAATAAACTAGCAAACAAAAAGGCTTACAACTACAGTTCCTGCTGTTGGGATCCAAGGTATAGTGAGCAGCACAGCCGCACCTAAATCCGTTTGGTATGGCAAGGCACAAGTGACCACAATGGCCATTATTTTGCACACAATCATTCAAGCCATCCTGACGTGAAGAATGGAAGACCAATATATCCATCACAAAATCCAGATGGCCCTGAATAAGTGTCCGGTTCTTCCCACTGGTCTTGTCTGCTCTTTCTATGCTGTGAAGATTCCAGTCTGTCCAGTAGATGTAGTCACTGTATTGGGTTAATCCGAATGGATGAGGTAGATCATCTGCTATGATTTCTCGTTCTTGTCCTGCAAAAATAAATATAATCAACTAAAACACAATTCCCAAGCCATGAAGCAGAGTGTGATGGACACTAAAAAAAAGTTTTTTCTTCCCATTTTAAAATAAAACCTCATTTCACCAGTCAGCATCACGGGATTCATTATTAAGCAGTACCTGCTGAATAAGTAACCTGAACACTTGCACTCAAAAATGTTATCCTGGCAACTTCTTGCCTATAGAGCAATCTGAAACCGTGCCCATGTGTTGCCATTTAAATAAATATTGCTCTATTTCTTACACAACATCACAGATAAATACTGGAAGACATATTCAAGAATGTTATCAGCTCCAAGACTTAGGTCAATAATAATAATAATAAAATAATATATACAACAGCTACATATAGGAAACTTGGGATTCGAAGAGAACAAGCTTTTAGAAACTACAGTGTTTCACTCAAGAAACAAATTATTTGCAGTGCAATTCAACATACAGATACCCCAAAGGATTTGGAAACCATTTGTTTGGCAGAAATCCCAGTACTCTCACACTCAGTGGTTCAGTTAGCAACATTCAAAACAGATTTAACACCTCTAGAGCATTAGATGGCCTCTGCCAGAGATTCACTACTAAAGTAAGGTCTTCCTATAAATCAGCCTCCTAAACATTTTCAAGCACAAAACTCCCTGAATCTCTGCCACTTTATATCAAGTGAAGATTCATCAGCATCATCTCTCCCTGCCTCAAACCAATATTCAAATGCTAGATTTTACAGAACATCACCTCTTTTCCCCCGCTTCACTTTACCTTTCACCCTCTCTCATTCAGACAACACTGGAGAAGGAATGGAAAGCATACAATAAAACTAAAAACCCATTAAGCCATTTTTTTCTATAAAATACTAGAACTAGGTATAGAGGCAAACTTCACAACTACTTTTAGGCATCTGAAGTGTCCAAGTTAAGAGCACAGATATCCTGAACACTCTCAGGTACTTAGATCAATCCTGGTCTATAGTGATGAATTCAGGGTTGAGGTTCTTTTGAGGGAAGCAAATAAACTACCTGAATTTTACTAGGCACTAGATGGAGAAAAATCTCCCAGAACAGTGATTTTGGCCTGCTGGGTAACATTTATAATGCCTAAGAATAAGCTAGGACAGCATTCAATCATCCACTTCAGAGTGCATTATTTATTGCTGGTAGGGTAGGTGCTTCTATCACCAGCTCCCATGCATATCCATCCTGGCCAGGAGGCCAGCAGTGCATAATACAACTCAAGTTCTAGTCTAATAACATTTCCTTAACCAATAAGTCCACATGCTAGAAGCCTACCCTACAATCTGCTAACTTAAAGGACAAGCATACAACGTTGTTAGCTTCAGCAGTCCTCCTCTCCTACTTTCTCACCACAAATTAATGTTAACCATAGGTTCAGCTTTAGAACTAGTTTAATTTACCACAGATTATTTGAATATTGTGTTTCTTCTCAATACCACAATCAGTTTGTAATCCAAATTTGCCTCTGGCTATTTTGTTTCTCAAGTATAATGCAGAAGCTTAGCTTTGATAGATCATGCATTAGATGAAAATAAACAAACAAACAAACAAAAAAAAACACCCACAACTCTAGATAAAGAAAAAACCTTCATGCAATTTCTAACTAGCATCACCCATTCAAGCAGTTCTTATCCCAACACAATGAATACAAGTGATGCAAAATCACTGTTAGCCTTGGAATCCAAAACTGCATAGCTTTGTTTTCCAGAGATTTCATCCATTTTTGTTATGGCTTTTCAGAATGTCCTTTTCCTAAACATCCTGCTCGAATGCCAACTTGTAAATAAACAATTTTTTTTTACCTGTAGATGGAGAGCATACATAAGCCAAAACTGACATACAGTCACATCACCAGAAGAGTATGTGATTCTTTCTAACGTTTCTTTTTCTTGGACATACACAGTGGCCTAAGAAGCTATCAAAACAATTACTTCAACTCATTTAGGTCATCAGCTAAAAATGAAGTCCTGCAGCTCAGTATGTGTACAGAAGCATAAGAAGGTGCAAAGGTTAAGTCAAAATGCTGATACAACTTTTTTTTTTTTTAATGTTCATTCAGAACATGTGAGAAAGCCTTTTCTCCATTAAAAGATTTTTCCATTTTTTTTTCTCTCTCTCTCAATTATAGAGTAAGATCTTCAAATAAAAGCATATAAAACCTTGTAGCAGATTCTCCATACTCTGAAGATACGCACACACAATAACACCTTAAAAAAATATCTCTTTGTAATACTAGCTTTTCACAGAAGATTTAAAAATAAGTGAGTTGCAGGGAAACCGCATGTGTCATCAAACAGAGCATTGCTGCAACAATCCTGTATGAGTTTTCTTAAATATTGTATGTTTTTCCACACAAAGCCTGCTTTTTATATTGGATTCCCAGAGGTGTTAGTTAATTCCCATCTAAACAAAGGCCTCTCTTTGGAAATGGGACATACGACGTCAGGTCACAAGCTTCTGGATTCCATCTCTGACGGAATGCCAAGCAGTACCTTGGTTTGGATTTCCAACTAATAAAATTAGTTGGAAGCTGGAAAGAGAGACCTGAATAATAGTTTGACAGAAAATCAGCATCAAGACTGGGAAGTCAGAGCTGGTTTATAATGAATCTGTTAGCCGTGTTCACTTTCTCAGAGGTCATATCTCTAATTTTGTAAAGTGCACGTAATTTCATGACAATACAGAGAAACAAGATTAAAACAGTAATATATTTCACTATCATCATTAAAAATACCACATGGTTATTAATTTAGGAAGCTTTCATTATTATTATCACTATCACCTCCTCAAGCATTTAACTTTCTGCTCACTCTCACGATGAAAATATACATGCAGATTTAATATAAATCATATTATTTCAATCTTTCAAGTTACTGCTTACCACAAATTGGTACGTACATGCTTTAAGTCTAATAAATTTAACAGACTTAACAATTCAGAGAAAAAGACAATTGATTTAACAGTTCATTATGGAATCACAGAACTGTAGGGGTTGGAAGGGACCTCAAAAGACCATCGGGTCCAACCCCCCTGCCAAAGCAGGTTCCTCAGAGCAGGCTGCCCAGGTAGGCATCCAGAAAGGCCTTGAATATCTCCAGAGAAGGAGACTCCACAACCTCCCTAGGCAGCCTGTTCCAATGCTCTGTCACCCTCACTGTGAAGAAATCACCACTCAAAAAAACCATCAGGGTTAGTTTGGAGACAATCATTTCAAGAATGTAATTAAAACACTCTAAAAATCTACTCAATCGTTTTACTGTGGCCAATGCATATTTCTGTACTGGATGGAGTAACACTGATGTAATTTAAAGCCAGAATACCTAGCATATTTGACGATTCAATCATGCTGGTGTCTAAGTCAGTCCAATATAGCCTTTGGTCTGCATAATCAATAGTGAGGTCATTGGCACGACCCACTTTATCCACCAAAGTGATGCTGTTTGTTCCATCCATATATGCTCGAACAATCCTAGGTTTACCTCCCCATTCTGTCCAGTACATGTACCTGAAATGAGAAGCGGAACAGAAAGATTACAACTAGGTGAGATTTGAGTTTGGCTCTGTTTTCATTTCATTGCTTTCAAGTTTTCCTTTTTTTTTTTTTTTTTTTTTTTAATATTTGAATATCCCATGTGGTTATAGGCAGTTAATTACTGTATATTAGAGCACCCCTTTTTTAAACATAGAGAGAAAAACATGATCAACAACTCCCAAATTTTCATTGAAACCTGTAGGGTTGTGGAGCTTAAAAAGCCTTCATTGTGTTTTCAAGGACCCTGAAGAAATGAAGCTATATAAACTGCCAAGTATCCTGTCATGTAAGAGTATGAACACACAGAATTTTGAAAACCAACACTATCCCTTACCCTTTGGTAGGATCAAGAGCCAAAGACCGTGGATTGTCCAAGTCCTTCCACACAAGGACCTGCCTATACTGTCCATCCAGGCGGGCTACTTCAATTCGGTTGGTTCCAGTATCTGCCCAGTACAGGTTCTTTCCCATCCAGTCTACAGCCATTCCCTCAGGATAATCTAGCCCAAATTCAATCACGTGTTCAACAGAGCTCCCGTTCATGAAAGCTCGGCTTATAGTCTGGAAAACAATCATGTAAAAATATTTCAGCATTTACGGATACTCAAAATGAGAAGTTATTATGAAGCCTGGCATTCAAAAAGAGGTTAGTAGTAAAAACAACAATCAGTCAGTGTTACATTTTTAAAATAAATGTCTGTTTAAAAGAAAACTGTATAGTAATTCACAGGATAAAAAGACCTGAATATTCGGAAAAATTAACAGTACAGTTTCTGATGACCAGTTCAAAGCATCTTAAGAGGACATGACTTTCAGAAAGCACTGTATATCTGCAGATTCTTCCTTGACCCGTCTTCCTCTCTGACATTTGCATATAAAAGTATTTATTTTTTAAAAGTATTTAATTCTCTCTAATGTGTTAATTCTCATGAATGCATCATAATTCAACAAAACCTGAATTAATTTTTCTCTCATAATCAGTCACCTTGAGCAAGTTAATTGCTCTCATCTACATTTTGGTTATATACAGTCAGCTAAACAAGCCATAGGGTAAGGACTGTGTACATATAAATAAGCTCCTCCTACCAATGAACAATGCCCAAATAAACCTTTGGGAACATCCAGGACCAATGTACAATTACCCTCCCTTGTTATCACATTAATGCTGAACATTTTACATTTATTCCTAACTGCCTGCTAAAATTTCAGGTATTGATTTCTTAATCATTTGATAAATGAACATATAAGAATAAGAGATGTTTTACATTTTTAAAGGTAAGTGTCAAAACCAGAATTCATGTGCTATATGTTTAGGGATGCAGTGGTCATCAGGGGAACTGTCTATGGAAACAGGAAGAGGGCTCTGAAGTTACACTGCCTACTGCCAAACTGCAGAAAGTGGGGGGACAGAGGGAAGGAAAGCCCAGGCATTCTGAAATGTATGCTGATATGTATGTGAAAACACAGTATTCCTGGATAATTCAGGAGGCCACAGACATGTAAAATGTTGTTCAGTTCTGCACAGTAAGAGTAGGACCCGATTGATGCAGCTGAAGTAATGTATTTTCCACTACAAATGGTTAAGACAACCGTAGCCCCAGCTCTCCACATGCTTGCATGAGATTTATTTAGAAACCGTGTCTGCAGCACACTAATTTGTTACACTGGCACTGTTCCTAGGAAGGTATCCACACCACAAGCAGCACTGTTAATGCTGAAGCACAACCCTCATTAGTCTTCCCAGAGAGGCTATGAAAATTGCACTAGCCCTGCCATCGCTACAATTGAGTTTTTTCCTATTATGGCTTTGGCACATTGGCAAGGAAACTTCAACTGCTCTTGGAAAAACCTATTAAGAGGCTAAACAGAGGAATTCAGCTCCAGTGAAGTGATTGCGTAATTTTCTACCATTACTTAATTCCCTTCAAAAAGTTAAGCAACACTGATGAACACCACAACGTTCACTTCAGCATGCACCTGGATATGAACCAGAACACATCAAACTGAAGTTTCAAACTGCTGGGGAACACAATGACACAGAGGTGGAGGCTGGTAGGGGGCAATTAACACGGCATGGAGAGGACTAGATCAGTACCCTAGACTCCTCTGTGACAAGCTGGAGTCGTAGGCTAACAGCAACCAATACAAAGCTCTCTTGCCAATTGTTAATATTAAATAAGATTGTTTTCCAAGTCAAAACTGTAAGGGGGGTAGAAAGCTTGGGGGGTTGCCAAGCTTGGTGCTTAAATTACTCTACTACGTGACATAAAAATGGCATTTCTAGGATAGGGACATATACGGATGCAGCCCATGCAGCATCTGAGACTTCAGCACTCAGTATGAGCAAACACCACTTTGGATTTTTATTTGAAGCAGGAACATGCCTGTCACCCAACTGTGCATTCAACAATGCAACTGTCTCCATCTCCAAGAGTCTCCTTGGATGCAATTCAATGACAACACTAGCAACTGCAGGATAGATCATGTAACAGAGACCTTTGTTAGATCAAAGGAACTGCTCTGTGGCATTATATTCAGGGAATTCACATGTCAGTAATACCTTCAAACTAACATCAGTCCAATAGATTCTGTTATCAGAGACATCAAAATCCAGAGCAGATGCCTCTTTGACTCCAGTTAGAGGAATAGCAACATCATTATTATTGGTTTCAAGGGAAATCCTATGAATGGCTGCTCTGCTTGTGAAAACTAAGAAGGCTTCAGGAATGATGCAAGTCTTCATGTCACTCAACAGCTCAAGGCCAATGGGACAGGCACACCTGGTCTCCTGGGGCGTAAAGAAACATAGATGGCTGCAGCCTCCATTGTTCTCTGCACATGGATTAGTTCCTTAAAAACAAAACAAAACAACAAAAACAAAACAGATATTAGTGTATTACGGAGACAGTGTGAAGGGGAAGGGGAAGGCTGAGAGGAAGTGCAATGTAATTACAAATCTTCAAAATACGTTAACTCTATGGGTTGTCAACAGAGAATTCTAAAAGAACCATTCAACATTGGATCCACCCAGCCCAGGCTTACCAAACACTTTGGCAACACTTGTTGCTTTAAGGCCCATTAAGTCTGGCAGCTGATCAATAATAATGTCTCTGCTAGCCCTTATCTTGTGAACTCTTTCAATGCTTCGTCTCTGCCAGTCAGTCCAGTAGATGTAATCTCCTAGCAGTGTGAACCCAAATATATGTGGAAGTTTATCTTCTAGGAGGGTTTTCCTCATTGTTCCATCAACATTTATGACCTGCGAGACACATGAGAAAAAAGGAATAAATAAGTGCTATTTAAAAATTTTCACTATGGACAGCACCAAGTTCAGTAACATTTAAATCAAAAGACTGTAACTTTTCTTTTCCCATGTAATCCAATCTTCCATTTGCTGCTAGAAACACTTCACAGGTTTACAACCTGTGCTTTAACCTAGGCAATGCATTGCCTGTGACTGAAGTAGAAATTTTAATAATCTCTGCTATCATTCAGATATTATTTCTTTATTTAGAATCAAGATATTAAACTTGTACCTTGTAGGAAATGAAGTTGTCTTCACTGTACAATGCTTTTATTTTCTCGTGGTTTTAAGACAAGCATGGTCATTTCGACACTGTATTCCCCGACTTGTAAACTATTAATTGATATTTATTTCGTTTTAAAAACATCCATAATTTAAAGGCTATGTAACATTAATCCATTAAATGCTTAACAACCTAATGGGCAGTCAAAATCATCAATCCGTTTTACCTCAATTCCATATAGAAACCAAAAAAAACAGTACGTCGTAAGGCTCTACCCATACATGGTAGACAGAGGGAGCACGCTATTTTTATGTGACTAATGACAATCACATCTTAGTAAATTTGTATTTGACTTTTAATATGTGCATGCACACCTGTGGTAGGTATCCAATTAATAATAACAGAAACCTCCAACTCGAAATCTGATGTTTCTATTACAGTTAGTTGTGTAATACTTTGTAGGTTTGGGAAAGCAACGTGCATCTCTCTTTGATTACACAGTTAATTTGGGCACATTCCCACTTCAGATAAATGCAAATAATATTGTCACCAATTCTATGTGAATGTTATCTGAAAGAGATGTTAAATGTTAGCATACATGGGGCAACCTACATTTTCCAGCTACCACCAGCCCAACAGAAGGGGTAAGCAGTCATTTGCTGCACCCTATATTTATTTGCATTATATACACAAAAAACATCACTATAACACTGTCTATCTTGCATTACTATAGTGCAGGTGTCTTCAATTGCAGATTAAAAAAGCTTCTTAAGATCTTCAAGACTAACAGCTTATGTGAATATGAACACATGCTACAACATAATCTTTTGGGAGAGACAGCAAATATGAAAGCAGAACAAGAAAATATTAATTATTTGCAATGTTACAAAGTCATGATACAGAAATCTCTGCACAGTCAAGAAATCGGCAGCAGAAAGGTGCTTTAAGAATCACAACACCTTTCTCCCTTTTTTTATTCTCTCTGCAAAAGACAGTGCACAGACTTTTCTTCCTTAAACCTTTTTAACTAAAAATTGGAGAAGTTGTGAAAAAGCACCGTTTGCAAGGAGAGAGAAATCTCCCAGCCACACCAGAACTGTGAGAAGGGGGGGGGGTAAATCCAGGGATTCCTTCCAGCCAAAAAGCCTCCTGCTGGGGACAATTAAAAATAATACTGACATTCCTTCAAAGTAAGATTTGGGGGAGTTTTGTGTCAACCAACCTACCATTTGATGAAGTAGCAGAGGCTTAAGATTAATGTCTTTTTATTTAGTTAAGCTAAATAGAGCACATTAAAAAAAAAAAGTTTGTCTGCGGTTAAAAGCCAAATGGTTCTGCAATTATCTCATTACATCATGTCCAGGCAAACCCCAAATGCTCACTTATTTAAAACAGTATCAATCCCACAGGCAGTACTGCAGGTTCAAAAGTTCATCACACATACTCAGGTGCCAGAGACAAACTGGTGGAACCTTCAGTAAACAAGACATTTTCCGTACAAACACACCACTGCATCAGCAGGATGAGGATCAAACTAGCACATTTCAAACTGGTTTTACAGATCTGGGCAGTAAAGGTACAGCTCAAATACCATACCTGTTGACTAAAATACACGAGGGCTAAGATTGGATCCAAAGATGCAGAAACATACATTATTTATATCCATGCACACCTGTGCATATTGTCAAAAAAACACAACCTCCACTGAAATTACTAAATGAAAAGCCTGTTAGGCAATCTAAGTCCCTTCCTGTCCATGTAAAAAAGGATTCCTAAATTATATGACTGATCAAGCACAGAGGGAATGAAGATCAAATATGTTGAATCAGACAAAAAGAAAAGAAAAAGAAAAAGAAATGTTTAACTGGCTTATATTTTGGCTAAGAAGGAGATGGAGTAAGTGTTCCTGTTTTTCCCTCTCTGTCTCGAACACCCCCCCTCCCCATCCAGGCAGCAGAACACCTATGAACCCAAGCAGGTTTCCCTTGGATGCAGAAGGGCAGCTCTAGGTTTGTGTGTGATGGGCTGCGGAGCCTTCCTGGCTGTATCTAATCCATGGCAATAGGCAGGAAGTGATAACTAAGTGCTAATTAGACTATCTTGCAGTAGCAACCAAGGCAAAGCTTGAACACAGTAAGCCATCACATGCAGTTCAGAAAAGGTACAGACACGTTTTGTCTTTTGGAGTTTGCTGTCATTTATCTTCCCTGAGATTCACCTCTACTCTAGAACATTAACCTAAACCCTGAGGACGTAGAAAAAAACACACCTGTAAATGGGTTTCACAATATGACCAGAAACACAACTCCTTTCACTAAAACTGCACAGCTGATAAAATACCCTATTATCTCATCATTTAATGCCTAAAGTTGGCTGCAGCTGGTAAGCTGCAGCCAAAGGGAAGCTGTAACAGTGCATACAGATTTAAGTGCAAAAGTAATGCTATTAACAGAAATCTAGCAGTGCACTAAGAAGTGCTTTCCCAGTTTAATTACCTAAGGACAACCTCATACTGAATGTATGATGTTACGTATATTCAAATAAATAAATGTCAAAGAATTACAACTCCAGTGCAGATGAGGCAGCTGCGTTACAATTCCCTTTCTTGCACTGATATTACTTGCACATTGAAGCTGCTCAGAGATGATCAGAAATACAAACAGTATTTCTGGGGAGGGCTTTAATGCAGTCAACGTCTTGAAATGATTCAATGTTTAACTGCACAAGCACTAATAGAAAGAAACAAAGATTTATGAGACAGAGCAGGAAAAAGCTACCCTGGACTTTTAAGCCCATCCGTAGGCAATAGTAGGATTGTTTTGTGAAATAGCTTTTCTTTTTCCCTCATTATACAGAATTTTTCCTCAAAACACCTGGAAGGTAGAAACAGAACAGGTTTTTTTCTACTCAGAGTTTTCATCCTCTTCCTATAACTGATAAATTTATCTCGACTTGGGTCAAAGGACACATACAACACTAAGTCTGCTGTGCTTTCCACACAAAACACCAAAAGGTCCCCTTGAACAGCGGCATGCACTAAAAGCCCCTGATTAGTCTTTAGACTTCAATGACAATCTCTTAATGAGGCATCGACAAGCTCAGCCAAAATCTGTTGTGGGCAAAATGAAATCAACATCAAACACTCTAATGAACTGAATTACACAAAAAAACATGATAAGGTGATAAGGTGTGCTTTTTCTTTTCCTTTTTTGGATGCTGCTGCACTATATGCAAAATGATTTAACGAATATTTCCAAATATAACATTCAAAAGCTCTTGGCTCTTTGAAGAAGATTAAAGTAAACAATGCAATTAAATTCTATGCATCAGTGTGATTCATGTAGTTAAGTTATATTTCAGGTGCATCTGTGAAAAACAACAGCTATTCATCACACATAGAATCATAGAATATTGTTAAGTTGGAAGGGACCCACAAGGACCATTGAGTTCAACTCCTGGATCCCCAAAGAAACGCCCAAAAAATCAGACCACATATCTCACAGCATCGCCTAAATACTTCTTGGACTCTGGCAGGCTCAGTGCTGTGACCACTGCCTTGGGGAGCCTGTCCAGTGCCCGACCACCCTCTCAGTGAAAAACCTTTTTCTGATATCCAGCCTGAACCACCCCTGTCAATGCTTCAAACCATTTCCTCAGATCCTATCACTGGTCACCAGAGAGAAGAAATCATATACAGAATGTCTTTTTTTTTCTTTTTTTCTGTCAGAACTCAGACACCTTGCTCCTCTATTTAATTCATTAAGAGAATTCATTAATTCATTTTTTTTCAATTGCTACAGACAAAGCTGAGAGAAATGGAAACCAATTATTGGGTTAAGCTAAATCACTACATGAGCAGTAAGCAGACATGGTAGGTTGGCACTGATAAAATTACATGATTGCCATACTATTAGGTTGGTAGACTTGCAGATCCATGTCTTTATCCAGAGCATGATGTTAGCCTGTGGGAAAGGAAAGCTCCTTGAATGGCTTCTATCAATTCTCCTCAGAAGACCCCAGAAGAGGGGAATCATCCCCTCAAGGGAATCATGCCCAGTTTTCCTTGGCTAGAGAAAGAACCTGAAGGAGCCACCATGTGGGTCGCAGTCAACAGGGAAAGAAAAAGATAAAGAAAAATGAAGAGAAGCAGAAAACTTCAGAGGGTCAAAAAGCCTGCCCCAAAAAGAGAAGAGTAAAGCAGCTGTGAGCAGTCTATATTCAGCTGAGTTTAAGCCATTCGTTAACATTTCCAACAGCTGAAATAAAACCACCTTTCATCAATGCTTCAGGATAAAAGTGGACTCCTCCTTTTTCATTCTGAAGGGGTTTAATGCCAGGCATGTGTTGGCAGACACTGGCAAACAGAAAAGAAAATAGAATTAAAACAAACAGGACCAGAACAGTATCAAAAAAGGTTGGGAGGATGGTTGGATGACAGACATATCTGGCCATTTTCCACATATGCACACACGTACACACAAAAAAATAATTTGAAGCTCCCTGCAATCTGTTGGCTCAGACACTCTAGTGAGTCTTGAGAATTTAGAAAGCACTCCTGACTGTTGTCAATAATTTCAGTTCACCTTTACGATACTTAGACGACCTGGTAAAAGCTGCAATATAAAATAAAATAAAATAAAATAAAAGCTGCATCATAAATATAATTCTGTAAGCTTTTATTGTCATTATGTTTAATGGCTTAATCATATACATCCTTCTGTGGCTCTTTTTT